TTTTTTTTTTTTTTTTGGTTGTAGTTGTCTGTTGTTTGGCAAGCCCAGGCTGGGGTCGAACCTGCCAGCTTGGATGTATGAGGCTGGCACTCTAGCTGCTGAGCTACAGGCGCTGAGCTAATTATATTATTTTCAAAAGAAGGTCAAAGTATAGTTAGTGTACACATCAAAATTAAACAAACTTCTTTAAACTGATTATATGGGTATATCATTGTTATAATCATAACAAAGGGCCAAATTATTTTCAATTTGATTGATAATTACTTTAATTCTAATAATTTTTCTTGGGATTCCTGCATGAGTATTTCTATGGATGGAGTCCTGTCTATGTCTGGAGGTGTAAAAGAACTTGTTACAATTGCGCACACACAAAAAATCCACAAATTATTTTTATGTAGCGTTTTCTTTTTTTTTTTTTGAGACAGAGCCTCAAGCTATCCCCCTAGGTAGAGTATGTGGCTTCACAGCTCACAGCAACCTCCAACTCCCAGGCTCAAGTGAGTCTCCTGCCTCAGCCTCCCAAGTAGCTGGGACCACAGGCGCCCGCCACAAAGCCCGGCTATTTTTCGGTTGCAGCCGTCATTGTTGTTTGGCAGGTCTGGGCTGGATTCGAACCCGCCACCTTAGGTGTATGTGGCTGGCACCTTAGCTACTTGAGCCACAGGTGCCGAGCCTACGTAGCATTTTCTACACAGAGAACTGCTAACATCAAAATCATTAGTAACTGAATTATGAAGGCCATAGGTGACACTATTAAAATTATTAAATTATATAAAAAGCAGGCCATTGCAATCAAGATTATTTGCAGAATTGTCTTCCTCAGTGGATGCTTCTCATATGCAGCTCTCCCTGCATATGGACACGAGATGGTTATCTCAAAGAAGAGTTCTATCAAGGTTTTATGAATTAAAAAGTGTATTGACCTGGCTTAATGCCCATAGCTCAGTGAGTAGGGCACCAGCCTCAGACACTGAGGTTGGTGGGTTCAAGCCTGGCCCAGGCCTGCTAAACAACAACAACTGCAACCAAAAAAATTTGCTGGGCACTGCTGCATGTGCCTGTAGTCCCAGCTACTTGGGAGGCTGAGGCAAGAGAATCACTTAAACCCAAGAGTTTGAGGTTGCTGTGAACTGTAATGTCATAGCACTCTACCGAGGGCAACATAATGAGATTCTGTCTCAAAAAAAAAAGAAGTATCAATCTTTTTTAAAATGCAGCATTCTAAATTGGATGATTTGCCTTATGACAAGGTTTGGTGTAATAAAGTTGAAATTCTTGCAGATTTATTTCAGTGTACTGTTTCTAAGAGTATGCAAGGAACTCATGAAAATATTCTCACATCTACAATGCTTTCAGAGAAAAATTACTGCTCTGGAAGAGAATTAAAAGGCAAAATGCAGTAGAAATATTTGAACTAGTGAAAAGGTATAAACGAGATAAAAATCTTACTGAACAAATTTTACAAGCTTTATTGTAAACAAAATTTGAAAAATATTTTCCTGCACCTACACTTGACTTAACAACTTGCTATTGGGTGAGAAATCCCTTTGTTTTATTTATTTATTTATTTATTTATTATTTGTTTTTGCAGTTTTTGGCTGGGTTTGAACCCGCCACCTCTGGCATATGGGGCTGGCACCCTATTCCTTTGAGCCACAGGCTCTGCCCCTATTTATTTACTTATTTATTTATCAAGACAGAGTCTCACTCTGTTGCTCAGGCTAGACTGCCTGGTATCATCATAGCTCATGGCAACCTCAAACTCCTAGACTCAGGCAATCCTCCTGCCTTGGCCTCCTGAGTACCTGGGACTACAGGTGCCTGCCACAACGACCTGGCTAGTTTTTCTACATTTAGTAGAGATGGGGTCTGGGTCTTGCTCAGGCTGGTCTCCTGACAACTCGAACTCCTGAGCTCAAGGGATCCATTTGCCTGGGTCTCCCAGTGTGTTAGGATTATAGCAGTGAGCCACCATGCCACTGAAATCCCTTTGTTTTAAGTGCATGTAGGTCTGCAAATTTAAATCTTATAGAAGAGAAAGAGGCTGGGCACAGTGACTCACACCTGCAATTCTAGCACTCTGGGCT